TGCCACTAATCTTAATTGGATGACCTTTATTTATTCTTCCAGTAAATGGGGCCATAACTGACATTACCATGCTTCCTCTCCACTTTTTTTTTTTTTTATCTTAACATGCAGGCAGCCTTGGCCCAGGCTCTTTGGATTGATATCAAGCGCATGGATAGCCCAGAATGTTATTTTAATTCTCTGGCGAAGGAATTAGAAGTAAAAAGAGACAGGATGGTCCGTTTGCTTAACAGCGTTGGCCTGAAACCCATCATTCCTGATGGGGGTTACTTCATCATCGCTGACGTGTCTTCATTAGGTTTGTAAAGGATTTGCTATTTCACATCTACAGACACTTACATTTGAAATGAAAGCAGAGTAGTATGAGGGAAATGTGTCAAGACCAGAATGGTATTTTATCTCTAGAAGAGAATGTGTTTACAACACTTTCAACAATTCGCTTTTCTTTCAGAACTATTTACCGTGTTCTAGTGTGTAGTTGGAAATTCTGAGCATGAAACAGTACACTTGCAATAGTTCACTTGAAAGTTTTCTTTTGTTTGTTTTCTAAATGCCACTTGGTAGGAAAACTGAAGTTTCTAGAAGTTGTGAAGCCATGAGGAAATACTTGATTTTCAAAGGTGCTGAAATGAATGCTGTAAACAAGGGGAACAACTGACCTTCAGTGAGTCTGCTGCATACATATGAAGCACTCAGATACCCTCTTCTAGGACATCTGAAATGAATGCTGTAAACAAGGGGAACAACTGACCTTCAGTGAGTCTGTTGCATACGAAGCGCTCAGATACCCTCTTCTAGGACACGCTGCTAGCTCCTTCTTTGCAGGCAGGAAGGCTTAGACAGCTGTAAATAACTCCCCAGCATCATGCATCTGGAATCTTTTTAGTACTGTTTCCAGAAAGCATGGGATTAGTTATTCATCTTACACTGAGGTGTGGGGCACAAGACAGGGCTCATGTGTGGGGGGTCAGAGGACATCTTTGGAAATCACTTCTCTTCCACTACATGGGTTCTGGGACTTGAATTCAGGTCAGCAGACTGCCTTTACTGACTGAGCCATTTTGCTGACCCATGCTTATCTCTCTATTATCTGTAGTTGATGATATAATCCTGAATTGCCACCAATGAATCTTCAAGTTGGAAGTCTAATAATGTTCTACATGGATCTTGTTGACCTTAGAGAATGGGTGGGACTATAGTCTAATGCCATAGACAATCTTACTTCAGTTTCAGTGTGCTTTTATATACGAATGCAACAAAGAAAGTAATGATCCAAAGAAGGTGGTTTTGAGTTCAGAAAAACATGTAAATAAAAACCAGAGGCAATACTAAATATTAACAGAACTAAATATTAGCATACTAAATATTAACAGCCCTTTCCCAGAACTTCTCGGGACAGGTCAATGCCTGGCACATGCTATGGATTATGTCTGACATGAAAGCAAGGCAGAAGGCCACGTCCAGATTCCGGGTACACCGAGAACAGCACTCAGCTCATCCTTTCACTAGACTGGGTTCTAGGGCTACGTTCTGACATCCATCAAGAATAAACATGACTTATAAATTGAATGTAAAAGTTCATCACAGGAGGCATGATGTCATACCCAAGAACAGCCCAGGGAACACAATGCACTGGAGGTGAAAGGCCTTCTGCCTTTTTTCCTGGAGCCTATCTCACAGTTTCCCAATGCATTGTTCACTGTGTGTCAGTCCTTGTCATGTCCCGACAGCTTTCTACATAAAACTTTCTTTAATATTTAAAAATATTAGTAATAATAAACCTTTGGGTATCCTTTACTGATTGATTATGATTGCTCTAATATAGTTTTCAATATTTTGGACGGTAATAACATTATATGCCACTGAACTTGAAAAACTGAAGTTTCTCATTCATGCTAACTTTTAGAAACCAGAGGGAAGGATTGTGTGTTAGCTTTTAGTGCGCGTGGCAGCATGAACATGGATTCATTAAGAGAAAGTGGAGGAAGCTCCTGAAGGAGGAGGGGGCTCCCTCATCTCTGTATTCACATGGGAATCATTTTGTGACACACATTATCCCAGGTTTCAGAAAACCGAGATGCTAGACTTTCCTTTCCTGGAACTGATCCCAGGCTATGCCCCCCCCCCACCTCACCTTGGGCTGCAGGGGAGGCCTGCTCCACCTTGGGCTGCAGGGGAGGTGAGGCCTTCACAGGTTTTACTGTGCGCCTGTGCAGAACATACCCTTCCTTGTCTTGGTGAGGAGCCTTCCTTGGCTCCCACAGGAAACTTCTTTAGACTGAGATGCCCCTGTGACTCTCATCTGACCTGCATCCAATCTCTTCCTACCAGCTATTCTTTCGGTTTCAAATCTACAAGATTTTCCACCCAGATTTATTTATTTATTGAGGAAACAGGTGGAGGACACCTGGGAAATGACACTGGGGGTTCTCCACTGGATCCAGTTTTCCCCAGACAATAGACTCTGAGGAAGGGTTTATCACAGTGGTGTACTAAGCAGCCTTTGCATGTTGCCAGAGCCAGTCCATCCTGCGCTCACACTCATACCCTGCTTGTATCTTAGTTCTGAATACAGTGTGGTTAGGTAGGAGCCGGAAGGATTTGGATGGAAAACCCTTTCTGATGCCGTGGAAATGGGAGGCTATCCTTTCTTTATGACACAATACCTATGGGGGAAATATTAATATCTCAGCCTTGCCTCACATGAACAAAATTTAATTAACTGTGTGTGAATTGTGTCCTATACTAGGATTTAGTTCTCCCCTTCTTCTAAAGATAAAAAACTAAAATTTCATCTGGTGATAGCATAAGATTAAAGGTAGCCAGGAGCTACATGCCTTTAATCCCAGCACTTGGGAGGCAGAGGCAGACGGATCTCTGTGAGTTTGAGACCAGCCTGGTCTACAAGAGCTAGTTCCAGGACAGGCTCCAAAGCCATAGAGAAACCCTGTCTCGAGAAAAACAAACAAACAAACAAACAAACAAACAAAAAAACAAAAAAAAAACCGGGGTAGAGAAACCCTGTCTCGAGAAAAACAAACAAACAAACAAACAAACAAAAAACAAAAAAAAAACGGGGGGGTGGTATTGGAAAGGAGAGATGGCTCTGTAGGTCAGAGCACATATTGCTCTTGCAGAGGAACAGAGTTCAGTTCCCAGCACCCAAGTAAGGCAGCTCACAACAGCCTGTAAGTCCAACTCCAGGGATCACACACCTTCTTCTTGCTTTCTTGGATACCACACACATGCACAAGCCCATGTACATACACACAATTAAAAATCAAAATAAATAATTTAAAAGGAAAATAACCAGGCATAGTGTACACATCAATAATCCCAGCACTCAAGAAGCAGGACACTTGCCGTGTGTTCAAGGCCATAGTTCCAATCCAGCCTGGACTACAATGGGAAATGCTATTTCAAAAATTATAAATGTAAACCATAATTACCATTACACTTTACAATGAAGAGCGATGACTGACCATTTAATAGTTATTGAAAACATATGGAATGGCAGGTCTTTATTCTGAACTCTGTAAATATCACATTCTCACGAGAGCCGAATGACACTGGTGCTGTCACATCCTTACTGACAGCTGACAAAGACTAGCATCATGGGTTCGTCTTTCTGAGGGAGAAGGGGCACTCCCCATTGCTTCCCATGCCCTTCTCTCCCTGTGCTGGTGGCTACATGGACTTGCGTGGTCCACTGTGTGTGAGTGCAGCGTCAGTATGTCAGTCAAGCTCATCATGTCATGTAAGACTCCATTGCAGTGTATCCATAACCTCTAGAAGTTCTAGGTCAAACCTGTGTGAGTCAGGAGAAATTTTGGATCTTGACAAGCCTAAGTGAAAGCCTTGTTGTCTCAAATATAATTCACCCTCCACCCACCCTTCCCTGTGGTTGTAGATGCTGACCTCTCCGACATGAAGAGCGATGAGCCTTATGACTATAAATTTGTGAAGTGGATGACGAAAAATAAGGTAATGTTTACTGACCTCTGCTGTGCTGTTTTATCGTTCAAAGTGCTTTGAATCATCCTGAATTCTAGCTTTGTTTCTTCCTCTTTTCTTTATTTAAAATTTTTAGTTTAGTTTAGCTTAGTTTTTTTTTTGAGACAGAGTCTTATGATGTAGTGTTGGCATGCCGGCAACTTGCCATGGGGACGACGAGGCTAGCCTTAAACTCTTAGAGAGCTGCCTGCCTCTAAGTGACCTCTGCTTCCCCAGTGACAGGTAAACCATGTGAGCGAGCATACTGCCCTAATTCTAGCTTTCATCCAAACTGTCCACTTAGGACTCTTTGAGGGATTTTAAAAATATTTTTCTTTTTGAGAATTATGACCATCAACAGTATCTATTTTTAATTAATCTGTGGTCTCTTAGTAACATTTGGAATGTGTGTAGCTTTCCTATTGCATCATCTTCCTTTGTTTTCAGAAACTGTCAGCCATCCCTGTTTCAGCATTCTGTGACTCAGAGTCTAAATCACAGTTTGAGAAGTTGGTGCGGTTCTGCTTCATTAAAGTAAGTGTCTGTATTCTCACAAATGTATCTCGTATGCCAATCTGTAAAGCACCTCTTTCCTGTTTCTAAAAATGATGTATGCGAAGCGACAAGACTTAGTGCCATGAGGTTAACTGTAAGTCATATTCAGCTTCTGTTTGCTGGTTTTTGTTTCTTTATTTGTGGTGTCTTGAAACAGGGTCTCACTCTGTAGCCCAGGCTGCCCCCTGTCTCGTGACAGGAGCCACCATCCTTGTGTCAGCCTTTTGAGAGGGGAACCAATACAATCCCACACCCTCCTCTGGCCTATGTGGAAGGATATGTGCCATTGGCTTTCTTGCGTCTGTGGCGTGTGCTCACACAGACACATTCACATACACATGGCTTAAAAAAAAAGGAGAAGAATGAATTGTTTTAAAATGAAAATAAAAGATGTCTCTATGGCTAGCTGAGAGCGTTCATCACCATTAGGCCATCCTAGAAGATCTGCTGTTTTTAAGATGTTATTACTGGGCTGCAGAGTGGCTCAGTGGAGAAAGCTCTTGCTGGGTAAGCGTGAAGACCAGCGCTCAGATACCCAGAACCCACATAGAAGCAAGACACAGGCAGAGCCCTGTAATCCCCTAAGCTGATGGCTACATTAGCCCAGAGTTGACGAGCTCTGGATTCAGGGAGACCCTGCTTCAATATATAAACACGACATCAATGTCCCGTGTTTCAGGTCTCCGCAGGTATGCACACACACTTGCCCCATCAACATGCAAATAATATATATATATATATCACACATGCATGTTATGGCTACTCAAAACACTGTGAGACTGAGGCAGTCTCTCTACTGACTCAACTCATTCATCCATAGTCTATCTAACATAACATAAATACTTTTTTTGTTTTGTTCTGTTTTTGTGATTCGAGGTAGGCTTTCTTTGTGTAGCCTTGGCTGTCCTGGAACTCGCAGAGATCCATCTACCTCTGCCTCTTGAGTGCAGGGATTAAAGACATGTGTTGCCACCATCCCCTGGTAAATACTATTTGTTTACTTTTTGAGATAACCTATCCACAAAAGACTTGCCATGAATAGAATGTAAGTATTTACAATAGAACAATGTAAGGTAAGAAAAGGTAAGGTTAATAAAGCATACCACCATAATGGTTGGCCTAAAATAAGTCCTAGTGTGTCTCCACTTACAATGAAGACATATTCAGGTAAGCCTTGTTAAAAATACTTTAGGTTGAAAATGCATTTACCACAACCATGAGGCTGAAAAATGTATATTAGCAATGCAGCATAGCTGGGGTAGCAGCCATTTGTCTTTCAGATCATGAGGCTCCTTGCTATATACATCATCAAAATATACGGTAAAATATCAAAATTCAGAGCATGGTTGCTACTGTCTGTCGTCATCAAATGAAAAAATAGCCAACAGAGCCACCACAAACCAGAGGCCATCTTTATAAATACATTATTTGAAAATACAAACATAATCAACAGAAGGAAAAAGTCACCTTAGGACTTCAGTTTTAGCTGGGAGTGGTAGTCTACATCTTTAATCCCAACACTTGGGAGGCAGAAGCAGGAAAATCTCTTGAGTTCAAGGCTAGCCTGATCTACACAGTGAGTTTGAGTTCCAGGACAGTCAGAGCTACACAGAGAAGCCCTGCCTTAAAAACAAAGCAAACAAAAACAAACTTCAATTGTAAACCAGTAAACACAGCCCTGCCCTTTTCTCTTCTTGGAAATAACTCAGGAGAGTTATAAAATGATTTCACAAATTAGCCAGCATGTAGGGAAGGGTGGCCAAGTATTGCTAAAGTAATGGTAGAAGGACACAATGCCTAGAAAGGATCTGTGTCTCAAGTAATAGATGGAGCCAGTGGACAGCAGGTACCAAGAACAGTAGGAGTTGCAGACGTTCTGACAGTGGGAGAAACAGGACACAAGTCTGTAGTCATGTTATTTAAACACTGAGGCTAGGTGAAAGGAAATTCTGGTTGGGCTGCGGATTTCCTCATTTATCTGTCAAGTGTTGCCAAAAGTTGGGTTGAGGCAAATTGGAGGAAAGGTCTTCAGTTAGGGCATGTAATTAGTACCCAGTTGGCTGACCTCTCCGTCTCTGCATTAGAGTTGTATTAAACTTACTGAGGAACAAGAGAGAATTTCTGTTGTCTTCTAGCACTGCCCACTTCCTTGTTGCTAAACATCTGCAAATCCATGGGGCTGGAGAGATGTCTCAGCCCTTAAGAGCACTGGCTGCTCTTCTAGAGGACCCGGGTTCAATTCCCAGCACCTAATATGGCAGCTCACAACTGTCGGTAACTCCAGTTCCAGAGGATGTATGACACCCTCATGCTGGCATACATGCAGGCAAAACACCAGTGCACATGAAGTAAAAATAAATAAAAACTTAAAAATCTACAAATCCATCTTCAGGTCGCACGGCAGCACATACACTCCTCAGATCACCGGCAGGGAGAGCTTAATACCACGTCCTGACACCATTTTGTAACGATAAATCTTTCTGCCAGCCGCTGGACTTTCCCCCCACCATGTTAGGACCACCAAAAGAATACACAGAGATTAATATTAGTTACAATGATGCTAGCTGATGACTAGGATTTCTTACTTGATAGCTCAGTCTTAATTATCAACCATAACTAATCTATATATTTTACAAGAACTTATATTATTGAGGACGCTGGCCTTATGCATCCTGTCTTCCTGGGATCACATGGCCGCTCCTGTCTCTTTCCTACACTCCCCAGAATCCTCCTCCACGCCTAGTCCCACCTATTGTGCTTCCCTATTGGTCAACAGTGTTTTATTCATTAACTAATAAGAGAGGCATATACACAGAAGGACATCTCCCACCAGCTTACCGTGGGCATTCAGTCAGAAAGCCCTTCATAATCACAAAGGCATTGAGATACACATCTTCAAAGGGCATCGAAATAAAAAGGAAAGACACATGAACAAAGCAGCCTTCAGAATATTCACTGCAAAAACGAACAATTGCTCTTAGTTACTGGGCCAGCTCTCCAGCCCTACAGCAGAGTTTTTCCTTTAAATCAAGATTTAGATAGTGAGAGTGTTCACTGCTATTGTGCGTTGCTGTTTCTAGGCCCTCCCAGTAGTCAGAGGTAGAGAATATATAAATGCATTTGTCCACATGAACATTTATCTGTCAGTCACACCTCTGTAACAAAGGGTGATTAGTTTCATACTCCCACAAATCTGCTTACCAAACTCCAGGATATTCACGTGACTTATATAAATGGAACACTATTTGTCTATAATGTATGCACATCCTTCTGTATACTTTAAATCATCTCTAGGTTATTTACAATCTAATACGATGTAACTCCATGCAAATAGATGTTATAGTGTATTGTTTGTGAATCATAACAAGAAAAAGAAATATGTGTATGCTTTGTGCAGGTGTAATTTTTTCTCTCACATATTTCTGTCATCAGTTGGTTGAGAAGCAGAATCCTTAGGTAGACAGAATTGATTGCATATGTACTCATATCTATATTTATTGAAAACTATCATAGCGTTAATTGTAATTTTTCCATTTCTGTGTTTGTAACTCCCTTCTTCAAGAGTTAAACCTGGTTCCCATCATCTAATTACTTAATACCTCTGTATGTGATTGACCTCTGGCCAGTCACACAATCACACACTGTCGTCTATGCACACACACACACACACACACACACACACACACACACCCCTCAGTGGATGACCCTACCAACACACTGATCCCAGACCCTGTTCTACCATTTTCCCTCAGAGGTGCCTTCCTCAAAGCCTCTATGCCCCAACACTAGGCATTCTCTGATCCCACTTTCGGGCTCTCACACCTCATGGCAGGTGCCTCCCCTACTCCACTCAATGTCAGTACCCTGCATGGGCTGCCCTACCACACAGATGCTTCAGCAACTTGGACCCCTGTGTCGGGTCAGAACTTCCTCTGCTGATGTCAGCACCTTTGGCATGCACAGTGGCTGCCCTGGCTACACCATGCTACTCTAGGCTGCTTGGGCTCCCAGCCTCCAAATGTGGTACCCTCTTCTCTCAGCCCCAGAAGTTGGCTTTCCTGCCTAACCATTTTAGTAGCAATGGTAGAGGGATGGAGGGAGGGATGGAAGGAGAGAGGGAGGGAGGAGAGAACAACATAAGACTAGATTTCCACTATTAGCTCTTCCATTTACTTTTATATCATGAACATGCATTGCTGGGATGGAGAGATGGGTCACCAGTTAAAAGCACTGGCTACTCTCCTAAAGGTCCTAAGTTCAATACCCAGCAACCACAGGGTGACTCACACCATCTATAATGATCTATAATGGGATTTGATGCCCTCTTCTGTCATTCAGGCATACATAAGGACAGAGCACTCTTACAAAAAAAAAAAAAAGATAAAATGTAAACAAAACATGAATTGCCTATTCAGAGGCTAAGAGGATTAGTTTTCAATAATCATAGCAGTTTTCCCCAGAGTATTGATTAGAATGAACTATTTTCCTCACTGAAGGCAAACTATAGTGAATAATACAGTTTTCACAGATAAGGAAATAGAAGCCTGAGCATATGACTGGGTTTGAATGGCAGCCATTAGAACTAAACCTAACAACTGCTGAGAGAGGTTGTCTTGGAGAATGGAGGGATTGACAGGGAAAGTGGGGAGAAGTCGCGCCGCCGGTTATTTTCCAATATAGTCGCCTCTGAAGTCATTGGCTTCTTTCTCTAGTTAAAATTAATTACATAGCTGCTTTCAGTTTTTTAGTTTTTGTTTTCTTTTAACAATATTTGTGAGTGTGTGTGCGTGTGTGTGTGTGTGTGTGTGTGTGAGAGAGAGAGAGAGAGAGAGAGAGAGAAAGAGAGAGAGAGTGTGTTCATATAGGGCAAAAGAGGTCATCCTAGCCCCTGGAGCTGGAGTTTTAGGCAGTTTTGTGAGCCACCCCACCCCACAGGAGTCCTGTGCAAAAACAGTACACAACCTTAACTGTTACGATAAATCTTTCCACCAAAAGCCGCCGAGCCCCACTGCCACGTGTGAGCTTTCTGCCAGCCGCCCACCTGAGTTAGGGCCCAAATTAATTCACAGAAACTTGTATTAGGTACAATGCTGTTTGGCCCATGACTAGGATTTCTCATCTGTTAGCTCAGTCTTAACTATCATATATCTATATATTTTATAAGACTTGATGCCTTATTGGCATCCCTCCTTGCCGGTGGATCACATTGCTCTGCTGGAGGAAGAGCAGAGGGAAAAGGGGACACTTCCTGTTTCCTTTGCTTAAATATGAGTCTCCTTGCTATGTCACTTCCTGCCTGGATCACCACTTCTCTACTACATTTCCCAGAATCCTCTTTGACTCCTAGTCCTGTCAAACTTGCTGTTTCATTGGCCAAACAGCTTTATTAAACATACACAGAAGTACTTTCCCCATCATCTCCTCTTTTCTGTCTAAATAAAAAGAAAGGTAACTTATCTTTTATAATAACTGAAGAAAACTATAACCATAACTATCTGTCTTTAACTCTATCAAAGACCACAGAAGGAAAATATATAAACTCTAGAATCGACAGAGACACTTAACCACTGAGCCATCTTTCCAACCCTCACATTTTGGTTTTTGCATTTGTGTTTTTACTTTGAAATTGTTTCTTCACATAAAAATAGATAGTTTTTTATGCCTTCAGTGGTTTTTATTTTGTTTTGTTTTGGCTTTTGAAACAGGGTTTCTCTACGTAACCCAGGCCGTCCTCAAACTCAAACCCTGCCTCTATCTCCCAAGTGCTAGGATTAAAGGCATGGGCCACGGTCACCACCACCACCACGTGGGTATATCTTCTGTGATTAAACATTGCTATATTGGTATGTAACGATACAATTCTTTTATTAATCTCCAGAAAGACAGCACACTGGATGCTGCTGAAGAAATCATCAAGGCATGGAGCAGCCCGAAGTCTTGATGTGAACCTGTGTGCCTTCCCCAGCCTCTTGCAAGGGCTTACTACTGAGAGCTGCCCCCTCACAGGCACTAAAAGGAGACCATCTGAAACATTTCCACGGTCTTTCTAAAATTAACCCTATTCCTAACAATATCCAGTACATTCTGGTTTTATTCAGTTGGAATATATTAAAACACCTTACACTGTAAATTTGTGGGGGGCAGTCTCTCTGTGTGGCATTTGCTCATACATGGAAACAGAAATCACATTGACATTTACTGTGGTGGCATGTGCCTGCAAGACCCGCACTTGGGAGGTGGAGGCTGGAGGTCGTCGTGGGCTACACGAGACACTCAGGAAAATGAAAGACACAAACAGAAGCAGCACATACTTCATGTGAAGCTTGTGGATTCCTGGCTCAGTCTGTAGAGATCATGGTAAGCTACAGACTCATGATGTCAGCCAGTTTCACTTTTCCATAGTGCCGGGAACCAAGCCACTGTGTCGGTGCCTATAGCTCCCTCCCAAGGGCACTGAACTTTGCTCCTGACTTTGCTTCTCTGTTCCTAGTGCTGCGGTGCCTTGCGGGTGGCATCAAGGTCCATAAGGGCTGCTGGGTTCCTCCTCCCTTGACCTTGCTGCCTCTGCTGTAGTTCACCTCTACTCCAGCTGAGCCACCCACTCCCTTGGCCACACCTTGAAACTGTTTCACCTGTGAGATGTAAATTCATCATCTCACTATAACCACCTGTCCTCTAGCTCGTGGTGTCCTGAACAACCCCGCCCCCACCCATCCTCCAGCTCATGTTTTCATGGCTGTGTTGTCTCTCTCCCTCTCCCCTCATCTTCCCCTCTCTGACCCTCTTTAAATGTATTACAATTACAAACCCGATGTGTCTCAGAAAATGGTCCATAGCCCCTTACATCAGCATTAGCTTAGAGCCTTTGTTGTTGTTGTTTTTTTGAGACAGGGTTTCTCTGTGGCTTTGGAGGCTGTCCTGGAATTAGCTCTTGTAGACCAGGCTGGCCTTGAACTCACAGAGATCCACCTGCCTCTGCCTCCCGAGTTCTGGGATTAAAGGCGTGCGCCACCACCGCCGGGCCACTCAGAGCCTTTTTAAGACAGACTCAAGACCTTTCCTTGAGAGATAATAAATAATCTCAGGACCTGACCCCCCCCCACCCGTGAGTTTTGCACAGATTGCAATGTGCTGTTCTTCACAGGCCCTTCAGTGCAATTCCTATTAGACCTCACAACTACACTGGTTTCCTCGCCGACCCTAGTTTCCATTGTTCTGTCACCCCGGCCAGGACACTTTGACTTATTGCCATATTGTTTGAACTTGCCTAGCTGGCCCAAAACAAGAAAGGAGATACCATAATAGAGGGAGACATTTTAGGTTTACAGAAAAATCAGGCACTAGAGAAATGTCTGGAGATCTACAAGGATGACACCAATTAACAATCTAACCAACAGAGGAGAGTCTACCTTAAATGCCCTCCCCTGATAATGAGATTAATGACTGACTTATATGTCATCCTAGAGCCTTCATCCAGCAGCTGGTGGAATTAGAAGCAGATACCCACAACTAGTCACTGAGCTGAACTGCAGAGAAGAACCAGTGATGAGCAAAGGGATCCAGACCAGGCTGGTGAAACCCACAGAAACAGCTGACCTGAAGAACAGGGAGCTCTTGGTCCCCAGACTGATAGCTTGAATACCAGCATGGGACTGATCGAGACCCCAGGAACGTGGGTTTCAGTGAGGAAATCTCAGAAATCTACGGGACCTCTGTAGTAGTTCAGTACTTATCCCTAGCACAGATGTGAACTTTAGGAGCCCATTCCACATAGAGGGTTACTCCCTGAGCAAAGACACACGGGGGTTGGGCCTAGGCCCTATCCCAAAGGATATGATAGACTCTAATGACCCCTATGGAAGGCCTCACCCACCCTGGGGATCAGAAAGGATATGTGATAGGTGGGTTGGAGGGGAGGTTGGTAGGGAAGGAAGAGTGAGGGAACTGGGATTGACATGTAAAACAATCTTGTTTCTAATTCAAATTAAAAAACATCTAGAAAAAAAAAAGAACTCCACCCTGGGGCTAAAGTTCTCCGCATGCACCAGGGCTGCTGAACACAAGCAGGCATGTATTAGCAGGTACAAGTTCACATCCTTAGCCTTTGACAGATACCACTCTGTGATCCCCGAGTGAGTTTTCTCTACCTGTCCCGATGTCAGTGATTGCTAATATTCTCTGAACAAAAATATCCACTTTGTCTTCGACATCACAGTCCACCACCAGCACAACTGAGTCAAAGCAGAGTCACCTTTTTGTGGGAAAAACAAAAAGACAAAAACTGTTATTATCCAGGTGAATGCAAACCTGGCCCCACCCATTGGGAATCTGGCTCAGTGTGTCATCCCTGTGCACAAGGCAAGCATTACCTTGGCTCTAGGCAAGCACAGGCAGTCCCTTCACATGCCTTTAATCCCAGCACTTGGGAGGCAGAGGCAGGCGGTTCTCTGTGAGTTCAAGACCAGCCTGGTCTCCAGAGCTAGTTCCCGACAGCCTCCAAAGCCACAGAGAAACCCTGTCTTGAAAAACCAAGAAAAAGAAAACAGAAAAAAAAGAAAAGAAAAATGGGCACTGCCTACTCCCACTCTCTTTCTGCCATTTCTCTGAGGAGGCAGACAGATGTCTGTCTCACTCTCTCTCTCCTCTCTGTGTGTCTTTCTTCTCTCTTTCCCTTCCCCCACTCCCTTTCCTTCCCCAATAAATCTTTCTTCCCATGAGAGTTGTGCCTGATGGCGCATTTGGCCCTCACCCGCCCTGGGACTATTCCAAGGTCCCCCTTGTGCTGTATTCATAACAGAAGCTGCTTGCGATCTACCTGAGCTGGCATCTGTCCTCTCTTCATCCACATAGCAACAAAGGCCATCCCTAAACCTGTCCCGGACACATAAGATGAGGACAGTGATAGAGTAGGGAAGGTTGTTAATTAAAAATTGGGTCCAGCTCTCCAAAGGAAAGCTCATAGTTGGGAATGGAGCTCAGTGGTACAGCACTCACTGGCGCACGCAAGGCCCTTTGCTTGAGTCCCAGACAAAAAACAGTAAGGCTTAGAACCCCTGTAGACAGCTGTTACATGGCATTCTAAGTTCTCATGGAACTTCGCCTGTCAGCCTTGCTGAGAACTTGGAACATTTTTTCAACTGGCCTTGAGCCTGCCCTTTGCAGCCAGGCTTGGATTTGTTCACAGCTCCTCTCGCCACCTGTGCATATGTGAACAAACTTTCTTTACGATGTTTCTCTCAAAATGACTTTAGATGAGATTACCATCAAAATGGATGGCTTTTGTTTTAGTTTTGAACTTTTGCATTGTTGTTGCTACTGTTGCTTGTATGTGAGGATTTTGTCCTGTGTTTTTGTGATAAGGATCAAAGTGTACACTCCACCATTCAGCAACACCTTTAGTCTTGAAAACAGTGGGTTTTGAATCAAACAGGTCACCTTTACAATATGAACAAGTATCATGTGATGAATTGAAGCTTTGGACAAAACAAAAGGCAATACACAAACACAGCAGCAAGACTGTGTACCTGCCAGCCCCCCCAATCACATGAACCAAAGCTTTCAAATAAGTGTTTTTTATATATGTCTACACACACAATTGTTCCCTTTTTCTGGAGAACCATGACTGATATGAACAGGTCTGCTACAGGGCCAACAAGTCACCTACAGATCTCCCATTAGATAAGTCATTCTTTGATGTCATTCTGTCACTAACTAAACATACAGACAATCCTCGATAATAAGGAATTCATGAAGACTTTTTTTTATTCCAGAGGAAATAAAGTGAAACTACAGTCTAGCTGTTAGAAAGCAGTGTCCAACTTTTCCTTGGATTATTTCTACTGTTTAAGCTAAAAGGCCAGGGTACCAGCTTTTTGTGAAATTAGTCCTAAGTGTCTCAAAAGGTACTAGCTAGGGGGAAAAAAAGACCTTTTGTCCTCTTCTCTCACATGGAATTTAGTGATAAGACATGGAGATGCAGCTGCCATCTTGCATTCTTGGAGGGTGTACGTCTGCACACTAAGGAGTACAAAGTACAGAAAGATGGAAAGAAGTTGGGGCCAACCCCTGGAGGCAAGGGAGGCCACTGCACCCACCAATAGACTTTATCATGCACAAACTAAATAAACCTTTATTTGTTTAACCAATTGTAGTGCTTTCTCTCTTTTTTTTTTGTGGATGAATGTATTGCTTTCTGATATAAATAACAGAGCTTGCAGGTCAACCTCCCAGAAGATCCATTGCTCAGAAGCAAAAGGAGAGCAGCCCCCACTCAGTAGGTGTCATCAGACCCCAGGGAAAGAGAGGCAGGCTTGGGAGGAACGGGGGACAAGTTACAGCGAATCTTGTTAAACTCGGGAATTTTCCACATCTTAACAATGAAAGCAACTATGCAACCACACAATTTCCAAACATTTTAAATAAAAAATTATCCCCAACTAAAGCAGTGGGGTCCCCAAGGGGATAAACCCCAAGGTAGACAAAACAAAAACAGAAACCTCAACCATAGTTCCGAGACTTGAGAGTTTCAAGCTGTTCTCTGAGTTCACAGCTAATTACTCCATCTTGCCAATTCATCACCAGTCCCCCTGCTGAGAAACAGCCATCTTGGGATCTATCAAAAGGAAACTGTAGTGATAACTGGATTTTCTAATCAATATTAACTTCACCATGCTATACAGAAGCTACTTTCCTTACGTACATTCAGCTACTTGTGAAAGAAATATTACATAATTAAGGTTGGTAGCTTTGTTTTTGTAAACTCTCAGCTGTCTATTAACTCAATAAATATGCCACTTTCGCTGAAACCTCAGAGCTACAGGTTCTAATAATAGCTTCCTTTCTGCATAGATTCCTAGGTTAATTCACTATAATTCTACTTTTATGAATTTTAGCACATTCTGTTAAACAGCAGGTGCATGAAGTGGTAAAAGCCTCACAAAACCTCCCATTTTCTAAACTTCTTCCCTCAGAAATGTTGTTCTCTTGGTAAAACACTGGCATCACGCCTCACCCCTGGATGTGATTATTTTGAAGGGCTCAGAGCCTTACTTTGGGAAGCTGGAGAGTTGTAGGTAAGATCAGCAGTTAAGATCACCTGCTGCTTTTCCACAGGCCCTATGCTCAGTTCCC